AGCCCAATATTTAGTAAAAACAAAAAATATGTTTAAAGACCTCTTGCCTCTCCCAGTTCTAGCCCTAACCAGAAAGGTTACTCTACCAGATGATGTAAAGATCTCAGCCAAATACTGTAGGAAGAGTTCAGTGGGGTTTCACATGTTCACTGAAAGGCTCTTCCAGAAGGGTTGAGTAACACAAATTGAGGATACAGTTATGCTGTAGTGCCAGGTAGTGGTTCAAAAAGCAGTATAAACACTGGGCTAGATGCATATGCTTTTGCCTGGGCATAGTTTCAGGCTACTTCTAGCAACGTGGAGCTCTGCAAAGATTTATTTACTTTTGTTGCCTTCACAGGCTTTTGCGTATGAACCAAATTCAGTGTTAGCAGCTAGAGCACCACAGCTGAAAGAACTTCTCTGAACCTGTGATGAGATTAAAGTCTATCCAGCAAAGCCAGTGTTGCTGTGCTATCTAGATCTTAATTCTTAAATATTGAAATCTTGCGACACCAGCGTACCCTACTGATTGCTCTTATTATGTGCCAGTTGTGGATGTTTTCTGCTCTTTTCTTGAAAATGTATATGCATTTTTTACTCTGCTTTTTTTGCTCTTAGAAGATATACCAGCAGATATCAGTGAAGCCTGGGAACAGTGACGTGAACCTGTTAGTATAGGACTTAATTGCAGTTTTCCTACTCACCACTTAGCCAGCTAAGCAGCAGTCTCCATTTGAGATATAGGTTAATTGCCAAGACAGTAGCTTTGACTAACACTGAACATTTTAACTATGTTTTAGGGGTCTCCTCTCATTCCCTGCTCCCTTTCTTGCTTACTAATTATAGTCCAATATTCCAAAATGTGGCTAAAGAAATAGATGTGACTGCTGAAATCTGAAGTACCTTATTCAGAATGGCTAACACATTTTTGTAGAGGCTAGATATCCAAAAGATTTGACTAACCAAACCAAACTGCCTTCTCCACAAAGCTCTTCCAGGTTCTTATCCTAGAGTTCCCATCTCTTTGGACTCTCTTCACTTTGTCCTGAGAATTGTTTATTAATTTATTTATTTAATTTGATGCCCTAGACAGCACAGTGAGTGCGAGCACAGGAAGCAGAACAGGTGTGTGAGCAAAAGAAGTGCAAATTTCTCTATCAGATGTCAAACCCTTGGTAGCACAGCCTCTCTGTACCTCAAATATTTGATGTACCTTGTCCAAAGGTCAGTAAACACTTCATTTGCGTCAGCAGTTTTCATTTTATGATATGCAGAAGGTATTTAAACTACAATCCAAAGAGGCTACTAAAGCCTAAAGTGGGAGAGTTGAATAACCTTGGGTTGTCCATGAACCCAACAACACATGAAGCACATGAAGACTGTGACCTCACCTTATCATATAAGCTACATATAAACAGTATGTAATTATGAAGTTATTAAAAAGTTATTTTGACAACTATCAAATTAGATCACATGAAGTAGTATGACATGTCCCCTTCTGCATTCCTGTTATCCTTGCATAAATCTACTGCCTGAAACATCTAGCTGCTATTCAACCAACTTTATTAGCATAAATAAATAAAAAATGTGTCATTCATTTTGCTAATATTCTACTACCTACCTATGTCTTAAATTACATTGTAAACCTATGGCAAAACCTTTCACTTCAATCTGTTTCTTTAAAAATTACTACCAGAGTGGGAATGTAATTTCACAAGCACCACCCAGCTCCCTCCTTCCTTTTAAAAATTGCCATCATCCCTTTTCATAATTTGAATTTTCCATTAAAAAGATTACTGAATGGCTTTGGTTTTCCATGAAACTGAATGATTAAGCACCGGTATCTTTAAATTTACTATTTTCATATTCTGTATTTTTTCCAATAATAAATAAAAGGAAAATCAAAGCCTGAGATCCAGAAACTGTCAAAATTACACCTTCCTTCCAATCTGTTTTTTTTTCATTATTATCTCTTGCTTCAATCTCATTGAAAACTTCAGTTTTTCATGAAAAGTGCCCTGTCATATATAATGTCTTCTTTGACAATGAACTGTAATTTTCTGCTATTTTGTTGCAGAAATGTGGACAATTACTTTAAAACTCTTAATTTAAAGTAATTTTATGAATGTTTGCTTTTTGATACTACAGATTAAAATGTAGCAAAATCATTCACAAACTAGTGTTCTTTTATGGAACCCACTTACTAGTTAAGCTGTTGAACATCAGTTCAAAACCATACTTAGCCACAAGGGTATAATCTAAAATTCAAGCTGCCAAAAACTTATCTCACTTAGCTGCTTGCTCTATCTCTAGCTCCCATGACAGATACTTTTATTACTCAATTACTTACATTAAAATGCCAGTATTTTGAGATACCCTTATCATAAGAAGGAAACAAAATAAACACTATCTACATTTTTTGTTTCTTTTTCTTTCCCTGCCGCCCACAACTGTACCCCTCTCTTCATGTGTTCGTATTGTATAGCTCCCTATTATCCCAAAATATACAGCTATGATTCCATGTTTCATATGTAAAATCATTTCAAATTAAAAAAAAAAAAAAGCTGAGAGGTGAGCAACAGCTATCATATCTAGGACAAGCTACATGTCTTCTGAGTGCTCTAATTATAGTTCTGTTATTAAGAACCAGGTTACAACACGTTCCCTTGCTACCATTATATACACCCTGCAGAACTTCATGGCTTTATAAATAAACCTCTTTTGAGGACATACAAAAAAGAACTCTTCCTAAACAAAGTGATATTAAAGCAATATGCTCCAGATTGTGCAAGTTGCTTTGTATTTCAAGTTATTGCATACCATCTAGAGAGTAAATAAGTATCATTAAATAAAATAACACATGAACAAGGTGTCTAATTTTTAGTACAGGGAAACAACAAAAGGCTCAGATTACATTCTCCAATTTCTTTTATAGCTTTGATTTACTTAGGGGTTTATCTCACAAACACTAAAAGTCCAAGTTTAGCCCACATTACTGACAATGATGAATTGCTTATTTAGACAAGTCACATATCCTAATCTCCAAACCACAGATTTTCTGCATAGCTTGCCTTCTGCCTAGTAAAAAGAGGAAAAATTACAGAGCACCTTGCTCTTTGGAGGAACTGTTGCTCAGAGACCTGCAATTACATTTTTGGTAAGCTTCTCAGTTTAGAGCCTCCCCAGCCGGCTCACCAAGAAAGTTTGGAAAGAGGTAGTACTTTACCCAATGCAATTGTCAGCTTGCTGACAGATCTGTTGGCCTTACCTAGATACCCCATCACAAGCTCCATGGCATCAGCGCAGAGGTTTCCTAGGGTTTGCATATCGCAGACAGAAAGCCTCCAAGGTGATGTGCTTGTGAGTTCGTTACAGATTCCGTATTAAGGAGTTAGTAGAAGTTTATGGCTGAGCTCAAAGCACTGGAGTCCAAAGGCACAGTGCCAGGACAGGAATGGGCAGAAAAAGATCTGCTATTTACCTCTGGGCCTGCAACCTGAATAAGTAGATTCTCTTTCACCAGTAATGAATAGATACAGGTTCTTGGGCTATACCAATCATCTCTAAATTACAAAATTAATTTAATAACAAGTATAGTATTACTGACATGAAAACCACTATTTGCATATTGCTAGTAATGGGAAAGTAGCTTACAAAGTTGAGTATTTTTTCCAAACTTATTCTGAACACTGAATTTTCAGGGAAGAAATGCAAGAGAAATGAGTGATATAATATATTCCTCTGTCTCAATAAAGACCACTGAGGATAATCCTCTAAAGACAGTACCTCTCGGACCCTGCAAACCTGTAAATGCAAACCTGTAAATGCAAACCTGTTCTGTAACGAAAGCTATTTGTTTAATACTTTACAAAGCTAATAATGACAAAAATTTACTACCCAGGAGTAGCCCATTAATGAAAACCAATTCCATAACTATAAACAGAGATGGATTTCACTTCTAAATATAATACTCCGCACTTGTTTCACATTTCATTCATCAATATAAGATCACTCCCTCATATTTCATCATGTTCCTGCCCTCCAAACTCCTGGCCATCTATCCTGCACAGATGCTGAACACACACAATAAAGTGTCCTCTCTAAATCATTTCAGTCACTATTAGGAAATACTCAACATCCATACAAAAAACCTGTGGGACCCCCGGGTTTGACTGATTCACTACCAAGCATGTTTTCCAACATTATAGTAGTCACATTCCTCCTTTTAATGAGGAAAATCAGATCAGACATTATCAAAAGTATGTCCAAAAAACATCACATACTACACCTACTATTTCATTATTGTCTAGTTAGTAGGTCAATTATTCTCCAGCACATAAAATGACAGATTACTGGGTTGATTTATTTTACTACTGGCAAATACAGGTTGGTAATTATCCTGTAGGAACTTGAAAAATGCTTATTCAAATTAATAATTTGATCTCAAAAACAAAGTCAATGGGTATTGCTGGGGGGGAGGGGTTTCCTTTAAATAAATAAGCTAGTTGTCCTTTTCTGTGGTATATTTGAGGTCTTTACCATTCTCCAAGTGTTCACAGATACAACCACTGCAGAATTTTATTACAATAGATTTTCATCCCTTGCTGACTTGATCGTATCTCTCATCTTTTACCTTACCTCTCTCCCTCTAGTTTAGATCATTTTGTTAAATTTGTGACTGCAATTAGAAATATGACAGGCTCAACCGAAGAAAACCCTCTGTGCACTGGGAACATAATAAAGGAGTATTTATAAATAAATACTAACATATTTGTGTTACCAGTTTGAGGAAAAGCAAAGTAAGCCTAGGCAGACAGCTGGCCAAGAAGAGGCTCGACCGTTACATTTAAATTTCTACTGAATTCAAGGCAATAGGACATATGCTTTTTTCTTAATAATTCAGTCAACTGCCTTAAGCAACACCTAAACAACTATTATTTTGAACATTAAACCTCAGAACATAGACATTCGGGAAAATATACAAAACAGATTTATAGATGAAAAATGTATTTAATTACCTTAGCAAACTGTGCGTTTATCCATTTTGTGAATGTTTTCTTTTGAACATCTTCTCGTTCATCTGCCAGAAAAAAGTAAAGCACTTCATTAGAATTAATGAACAAAACATTACAGTATCATGGATTAAAGCACCAGTCTTGATTGCAGTGAAGCCACTACTGCTAATTTGAACTCAAGCAGGGCACCTATTTGGGTGTATTTTGTCTTTAGCAGAAATATCATTAAAAGCCCACAGCTTCCCTTTCACAAAAATGGTTTGAAAATGAGCTCTAATGTCCTTGGCTCATCTTATTCATTCTGTGGGATTCTTACTCCTTTCCTGGAAAGTAACATGTTACAAGAGTATATAAAATAATCTGCTAAGACTTTTAATTGCATGCAGTTATCAGAAATGCATTATCAAGGTAAAGCCTTTTTAACCACAATACTAGGTCTTCATTGGTAGCCGCATTCCTTGTCTTTCCTCTTCTTCCCTTTTCTGTCTTTCAGCTTTTTTATAATTTGTGGCATACACATCCTCCAGTGGAAAACAAAAGAACAGAAAACAAAAAACAAAAAGCAAAACAAACAAGCAAAATAAAAAACAAAGCCACATGTTTGATGGCAATACATCCAAGTTTTTCTCAATTTTTTAATACAAACAGGATTCTAGAGGGAAATTAATTATTTCAGAATATAATTTCTGTATATAAATAATGAATGTTGTCTTGATACAGACTGAAATTGGACACAGAGGTAGAATTCATACACCTTTTAGGGGGAAAATGCAAGATATCTTCATCTTAGAACCTAATAACCACTTTCTCAAAAAGATCTGTTAGGCATCATCCCTGAAATAACAGAAAATCTAATCACTTTGTGTGGCAATGTCAAACCAAACTAACACAGGGGCAAATGCAAACAGGACTGCAAAATGCTTACTTAATAAAGTCCAGTCAATGCTATCAGTCATTTGATTTAAAATAAAATCTTCCATGCTTCTTGAATAAAAAGGGATATTAAATTCCCATCTGAAATATTTAGCAATTAATAATTTTAATGGATTCAGATGAATTTGAAAGACAAGTATAGATGAATTACGTAAGAAATGCGCAGCATTAATAATGCACTCTGCTTTCTCACCTTCCTCCTTTCTCACCTCCCCTCCTAAGAGACATGGTAAGGCAAAACCTTGTCATACAAGTATAATTTCTGTTCTTAAAACCTCACCTCATCAGTAAATTTTTTTTTTCCTGCAGAATGTTTTTCATTTGCAACAATACAGTATGCTAGTGAAGAATTAATAATAAGATATTGCACAGTCACTATTTGGTTACAAAAGCTTTTGCATGCAGGAAGAAACATGTTTTAATTGGTTTCAGATGATCATGACTGAAAAGATTTGCAATAGGTCTTCAAGGCACTGAGGCTTTTGACAAGGAAATTGAAAGTGAATTTAAGATGGCATTTTCAATTTATCTTTACATTTTTACTTTTTTTTTAGAAAATCAGTGCCATTTGTTGTTATCATTAGCATATTCTGTTTTTTTTTTCTCCAAGAGCAAATTAACAGCCTGTTGTTGAGTGGCAAATATTTAGTACACAGAGAAGTATGAAGTGAAACAGTATTATATGTCAATAGAGCCTTATTACAAATAAATGTAGAATAAAAACAAATTAAGAAAGGCAGTGCTTTTACTAATATGTGAAAGGAATTCTAGTCATATTATTCTTTTCAATATTCTTAAAATCTTAGAACATAAAAAAGCAGAGTTTCAAAGACAGAATGGAGGAATCTTTAAAATTTCTAACGTCAATGCCCTCTGCAATATCCAAATCCACTGAATAATTTCTTTTTGCTTATCAGAGATATATAGTGCATGCTTAAAAAATGACCAACTTTCTATTTATATATACACTAATTTTAAGAATTAATTAAGAATCAATTAGAAATCTGCACAATTATTTGTGAATTTAATATAGGGTGACATTTTATTTGGACTAAAAAACCCTTACATATTATTTCTGCTCGAAGTTTACCAGTGTCTCATGGGACAAATTAATACAAGAGCTATTTCTTCTCACATGTCTAAAAGTATACATCTGAAGATGCTTGGCACTACATGGTGTGCAGAAGATAAAATGAATCTGCAACTGCTTTTGCCCATTTATTTTGGGAATATAGCATCATACTGTTGGAAACATGTCATAAAAGCCAGAGATGATAAAGGCATATATATGCATTCCATCAATATTACAGCAGCATTTGCTACAATAAACTTTCTAGAGTTCTCCCTATTCTATTGCTTTCTATCCCAAATAATGCTGCTTGCTGCTTCCTTGGAGGAAAGTGATATTTGAAAAGCCAGAAGTCCATCAAAATGCAAAAGCACATGAAGAAGACATAAGCTTCTGATAATAAATGATGCTAAATCTCTGTTTAAGATTTTACTTTTCCTCCAGTATCACCTTCTTTTCTGCTTTTATGTAAGTTTTAATTTCTTCCAGGCACCTACACGGGAAAGGACAGATACACAGTGCTGGTGCCTCGTATACATTTAATGTGATGTTCTATTGCAATATTCTTCAGCAACATAATATAGTACATTAGATATTTAAGTAACTATTTCTAGTAAATCATCTCTGAATAAAATTCCCAACAAAATCTTAAAATGGTGGAGGAGAACATATGGGATTTAGGAGATAAAGGGAAAGAAGCAAAAAAACACCCACCTCTAATGTCCAAATTCAATATCTTTTCCACCCCAGGCTACTGTATAGGATATTCAGTTACGTTGTTAGTTTTCCACATGAAGATGCAAGATACTGAGCTGCTAATCAGAGATTAATTACAGTCCATGGAGCTAATAAAAAATATGGGTTTCCAGAGGAAAATTAGATTTAAGGCAGCAATCTGAATTTCTTTGAAACTTTTTCTGAGTTCACTAATGCTCTGCCACCTTGCAGATACTGAGCTATCACACTGGTGCTACCTTCCATGCAGAGCTCATTCCTAACAGTGCTGAGTTCCAGACGCTTGCTTGGACAAGTTTATAGCCCAGCGTCTCGGAAGTAGCAGCCTCCTCTAGAGGAGAACAAACCTTTTGCTCATACATGGTATTGATTTCTCTACATTAAGCAGATTTTGTGGTGTCTGTTTGTTTGCTTGCTTGTTAAGATGTCCTGCTTGCTCAGCTTGATGGATGACATGCAAGACGTGGACGTGCAGTGGCATTTGTGTGGGTGCAGGAGACAAGCGCTGACAGCAACGCTTTGGCAGCGTGCAGGGCAAGCGTTTCTCAGACAGGATGACCCTCCGGGTTTGCGACTTGCGAAGGCGAACCTCTTGAATTAGCAAACCGGCCATCTCACTTGAGAAGCAGCACTATCGGAGTCGACAGTTCACATGAAGTTAGGTGGAGGGAAGGGAGAGGGCAGCCCTAATGGAGCGAGCTAATCAGCTGCCAAAGGCCAGCGCTAAGTTGCAATCAGGTGACAAGGCTAATGGAGACACAAGTGGGTTGCTGGAGAATGCTTAGGAGCGCGCAATCAGGACTCAGATGAACAAAGATACTGCTATTAATGGCAAGTGGTTACCACACAACTCGCCCTGACACTTAATGAAGTGTTTTCTCTCTTCACCCTATCATTCGGATGAGTCTTCCTTGTATTTTCCACAGAAGAAAAGCATTGTGTGCTTACCTCCTTTTTTAAGCTACACTTTCTTTCCAAAAATGAACTAACACTCTGCAATACCCCACATTATGCATATAATTGCAAAATTAATAAAAAAAACTTTTAAAAACCTAGTGGACTACAGGGTATTCTGAAAGCACAGAAAGCATACAGCCATGTTAAAAAATAATACAAAGCATTAAACAATGTAAGCTGACAAATATTTGAAATGTACTAAGTTCTGCCACATATGGTTTATATACAAAGCACATTAGTCCATTTTTATGAAATAAGCCACTCTCCCACAGACAACAGGGTGTAGGGAAAGGAAGGTCCTATTCTTCTGTGCACCCTTCCCTACTTTTCTGGAGAATCTTCTGTCTCTCTTCCTAACACACTTGAAAAAAATACTACCTTCCACTTACAGATTGTAAGACAAAAAGTATGTTTGCCTCAGCATCCGAATTTCTCATTCCACAGATGGTGGTTTCTGTTGCAAGTGGTTCAGGAAGTCACCTCAATTACTAGAGTAAGAAAAGATGTTCTTGAAAACATGGAGAACATTCAATAAACGTGCTGAGACACTAAGGATAGGGGAAACGAGCTGTGTTCTTAATTATTAGCTTTAATTTGAAACAAACAAAAAGTGTCTTTAAGATGGCAGTACAGACGGCATAATAGAAGCAGAATATTTCAGTCACTGCAGAGACAGGCAGTGAGGTGAGGTTAGTTTGCGGTTCAAGACTTGATGCCTTTTTAGGGCTTTTTAGGGAAGCACTTCCATCATGAGATGGAACACAAGCAGGAAATGAGGAGGCTCGCCTTGGCCTGTTACCAGAGTGGTCTTTGGCTGGGTCAAACAGCTACTACATACCTATCCACCAGGATACCTGTTCACCAGGAATCATAAAAAAAAAAAAAAAAAAAAAAAAAAAAAAAAAAAAAAAGGAAGAATAAGGGCAAAGAGGAATGTCCGCATCCCAGCTGGAAACTTTGAAACAATAGTGACAAGGCAGGTGGCAATTCCTTCTTTCAGAGCAACTGTAGGTTCATTTGAACATGGCGGTTTAGAAAATAAGACCATCAAAATTGCTATTTGATTTTCCAGCAGCCAAACAAAGCAGCTTGAGAAAAGGCCAGGATTTGCTTCAGTCTTCGAGCAAGTGCCAGCAATGGTGGGTGCAGAGGAACAAAAGAGGCCGCAGAAAGTCACATTATTGATACTCTGGTCCCATTGACTCACTTTCTTAGAGATTTACCAGCACATTGTTACAATGTTCTGCCAGTAACTACAACTGCTGAGAAATGTTCTTTTGCCATTCTTGCTTATCTGAGGGGGAAAGAGGAAATCAATGCAGTACAATGACTGAGTGCTATTTGAGTGGACTAGCTTTGATTTTGTGTCGTTGAGGTCATCCAAGACATTCACAGGCTGACAGAAAGCACAATGGACTGCTTTGAAAGACAGCCAATGATTTCCAGTCTATTGCTTATGTAAGGCAATATATAACATGCAAGTCATTGTCCGTCTTCCATAAATATAGTGATGAGCAGCCTGTTGACTTTCTCTGAATTCTCTTAAGGCTCCCGGTTCCATGAACTCTCTCTCCTGATTTTACTGTGGAACATCAGTCAAATCATCATCATTTGAAGCTGAGAACAAATGTCAGGCTACAGCATGTGGGATACCCTTTTTATTTTATACACACACACACATATATATATTTTATATATATATATATGCCTAACCTAGTCCTCCCAGGAATAGTATGATATCATTATCTTTTAAGGACACTCAGTAAAATCCAAGTGAAATTGTAGAAAATATGCATGGGTATTACCATACTAAATAAAATTAATCTCAGCTCAGCTCCTCCCCTTCTGCAAGCACAGAAATTCAAAGATAAAGACTAAATTTGCTGCTTGGGAGACAGAAGGAGGCGCATCTGTGTGACCACACAGGTCTCCTACCAACGCCATAGCCCTAGATTACAATTCAGTCTGAGAAAACCTTATATTTTTTTCTCATTTCATTATGTTAGCTGGAACTGTTCTCTCATTATAAAAGTTTAAGGAAAATTCCTCCCAGACTTCTCTGTTCTTTTTTCAATCTTTAAGGAATTACAGCTGTTTAAATAAGGTCACAGTCTTCTGAGCAGCTTAACCCAATTAGCTATATAGAGAAAAGCACTGAGGGCTTCTGAGGACCAGGAAGCCTACTTCTAAGAAGTAGGAAGCCAAAGGGTAGGGGGGGGAAAAAAAAAGTGAATAGAAGAGAAAATGCATTGGTAACAGCGCAGTACATATAGGGTGCAGAACACTCATCTCCAGTTTTAGTGGGGAAAAAAAGGCGGGGAAAAAGTATGGGGAATGAGAATCAAAGGTGGGTTAGTAAGAGGAGATGAACACTTCTTTCTTTCTGGAAAGACAAACCGACAAGGCACAGAACATCAGGAACATCAGACAGTAGCCAGTGCCTGGTAGATCACATAGGGGGAAGGAGTGGCTTTGAAGAGTGTCTAGCACATGTGGCAAGCCTTGCACTCACAAGGACCAGGCTGCTCCAGGGAGGTATAAACAAGCCCTACACCTGTAAGAGATAGTTGTGAAATGTAAAGATCTGCTGAGGTGCAGAGAATTTCATGAGATTTTCTGCAAATTCTGTAAATATTGCTGTGTAAAACAAACAAAAAAAGCCCACAAAACATTTCTCAGCCCTTTTTTCTAAATAAAAAGCAACAGGTGCAGCTCTCAATACAACAGCTGAAGTACAATTCCAAAAGAAACACCAAAAAACAACAAAAAGCCACCACAAAGCAAAACCTCGGCATTTTGGTTCACATTTCCAGAACTTTACAAGCATACACAATTTGGGATATTCCACTGTGATTCATATGCTAGTAACAGTGGTAACAGTAACCACAAGCTGGTCTAGTCCCTCTGTGCTCTAGCACAGCCACACTATTCAGGAAGCAATTGCAGTGGTCACGGCGATGGATTTGCCATGGGGCAAGTGGCTGAGCTGCTAGTAGGTCAGAAACCTTCCTAGAGGCCTTCAGGGGCTGGTCATGGTTTGCTTTTGGGTCAGCAAAGTTGGTTAAGTTGGTGACTTAGCTGTTCAGCTTGCAAAAGAAGTAGAGAAACCACAGATGGCTTGACTCACACTCTTCCAAAAATATCCTAGTCTCCTAGCTATTGACAGCGCTGCGAACACAAGCTTGGCTTTCCTTGTTTATTGGTTTCCCTTTATTATTTTATAACCAGCAGTTATTTCAGATCTAGGAATGTTTTCCCAAAGAAAAATCTCTCCACTGTAATAAAAATAATACTGAATTTGATGATTAAAAAGGAAGGGCAAGTTTAGTCCATGTCATAAAGTTATCTTTTTGTGGATACATTAAATTATTCATTTGGATATTCAGCTTTGTATGAACAATGCTCCTTTTATCGTCTCTTTTTCAATATCACCCACATGCATTGACATGTGAAAACTAGGCCTAGTAAAGTCAGTAGAAGCACATGCTAGTTTAGGATACTGTCATCACAGCTAGAGTATTGGTTGAATACTGTACATGTATCTTACCATCTTACCTATTCTTATCTATATATGTACCTATTGTACATGGTGTTACACGCTTTCTTTCACTCAAATCTCTATAATGTTTAAAAGCACTAGTTGCCGAAGGGCGTCGGTAGGCCTCGTTCGTTAGCTGGACTGGCCTGGGGTTGTCCTCACCCCAGGGCACAGACACCAATATGAGGATGCAGTAAATGGCGTTTATTGCATTGCTCAGTCTACATATATACTCCAGTAAAATGTGGAAGCTCCCCCGCTCCCCCACTTAGCAGGAGGCTAATTTCTACTTCTTGCCTTGTATAGTATGCTTCATTATTCATAAGCTACGTGTATTAATTATGCTCCTAACTTCCCATAATATCGCGAGATCTTCCGAGCGCCATGCTCTGTGCTATACCACATCATCTGCTTAGGCTAAGCTCCCTACTTTATTAAGCTATAATTCCCACAGCACTATATAAAATGAGCAAGAAAACCACTGTATCTTGCAGAATATCTTACAAATGAACTAGCAGCTTTTTTAAAGTCACACACCAAAAAAAATGTTGCCAGTACTTCTGAGTATCTTGAAAAAATACTCATAAAAATGATCTAAAGGCACTTCCTATTTCATAGCAGCAAAACAAAATGTGTTTGCAAGCTAAGTCTATTTATTGCTACAGACCATTCTTAATTCACTTAGGAAATATGGAGATGGTTATCAGTGTTGCCAAAAAGTGCAAGAAATGTTGGCGGTTCTTGACAGATACTCACCTCATCTTGCCAAATGAGTACACTTGGGGGAAATATTTTAGCATTTCCCTTTGACAGATTCTTTTGAAAATAAAAAATAATTTCTATCCCTATTTACAGATCCTTGAGTTACATCCTGTTGCTGTAGCGTGACAACAGCTGTACCTTTAGCTACACAGACTTTTCTGAAACTGTACATAAAACCTACTAGAACTCAGCAACCCAAAGCTGCAGTTTTCACCACAGCTGATAGATGATACTTTGGCCCTCTCATCTCCCCAAGGCAGCTGTGGATTAGAAAGGTCACTTAGCACGGATGACATCGGCTCTGGGACTGGGGAAGTAGCATAAGCAAATAAGCTGCTGCTGAGCCCAACTTCGGT